AGAAAGAGTGCCATACTTTGCACAGAAGAGTGTTACAAGGCTGTTGGCATCAAAGTACCATGCATAGTAGTTACTACTACTAGGTCGAGAGACCCCCAACATGAAAAAAGATGAGGTCAGGTATCACCCACCCATTCTCAGCACAAGTGTTGGGGAAGGGACTGCCCCCACATAGTTGACTTCCACCAGGAACTCCATCCAGACTTCTAACAGTTTTCACCAAGACTTTCTGGACTAGGAGCAACCTCCTGATCTTTTTCATGAGCCCTATTTGAGATTCTGTGATTTTTTTCCTCTTCTATAAACCCATCCACTTTTATCTTCTGGAGATTATGTTTTTTTTGTCCAATTAGATCAATGCCCCCCCCCTCTCTCTCTCTATCTCTTTTTGGTCGGTCACGTGAACTCTCAGCCTGGGTGCTGTCCCTCAGTTAAGCTCAAGTCCAGCGCTCTACCACTTGAGCCACAGCATCACTTCTGGTTTTTTATGCTTATGTGGTGTTGAGGAATCAAACCCAGGGCCTCATGCATGCAAGTCAAGCACTGTACCACTGAGCCACCTTCCCAGACCTCAACGCCCTCTTACATTTTAGCACCAACATGTGTATACAATGTAAACACATTTCAATCCTATATTACAGAACTAGCGTTTTCCACATGCGGAACTTGGAAGGTACACCTCAGAAGCTGCTTAAATTCTTCCCTGCTTCCACAGAAGCATGTTCTATCAAATTTCCATTTTCAATCCTTGAAAAACATCTCAAGCTTTTCATTAATTCTGGACCATCTTACCCTAGACTTATGTCACCCTAGACTTCCAAGAGGGTGCATATGGGTGAAATCTTTTTTTTTCTTTCTGAAGCCTGATGTTGAAGAAGATTGGAGCATTCTCTCATTCTGCTAGATTGATCTAGTCTTCCTGCTCATGATTCTGGAGACAAGTACTAATGCAAAGGATTTTGAAAGTAAATGAGTAAAATGAAGAAATAGATAAAGAGTTTTCAGAAGGTTTCAGTATTCTTTCCACACTGCCTCTGTACATTACCACAGAGCAAACAAGAGTCGCCTTTGTCTGCAGGTCTACACCTTACACAAATATGTGAACTCGGTGAAATGTACAGTCTCCTACTCCAGGCATTCCGGAGCTGAGATTCCTATCCCTCCCCTCAACAATGAGGCATTTGAACTTTTTATTTTACTTTTTTTTAAACCATATCTAGAGAAATAGCATCCACCATAGTGCTTGACATATAGTATTCAGAAAAGGAAACAAAATGAGTAGTGAATAGTTTAGAGAAAAGTCAAATCCAATACCTACAGCCCTGCTTTTGTTTGTTTGTTTGTTTGTTTTTTGGCCAGTCCTGGGGCTTGAACTCAGGGCCTAGGTACTATCCCTAAGCTTCTTCGATTCAAGGCTAGCACTCTATCAATTGAGCCACAGCACTACTTCTGGCCTTTTCTGTTTATGTGGAACTGGGGAATCGAATCCAGGGCTTCATGCATGCTAGGCGAGCACTCTACCACTAAGCCACATTCCCAGCCCCCTGGTTGCTTTTTTTTTTTTTTTTAATCTCTATACCATTCCTTTGACTGTTTTCCAACTTATCCAGTTCTTTGTATCCCTAGGGAGACTGATCTGCACAAACTGCCTTTTCCTAGCTTCCCTGTGAATTGTTCCCAGGTAGGGTCAGCTGCTAAGAGGTACTAGCCTTGAAAAGAAGAGGAAGTCAGGGTATTTCTCCCCTTTCTTTTCTTGAGAAGAAGAGAATGCATCTCTCACAGAAGCTACTTCTTGGTTTCTAATTCCCATCAGAAAACGTTTTCTCCCTTTGGCTCCAAATCCTACCTGCCCAGCCCACAGAGGGTCCCCCTTTTACTAAGTGGCCTGTGTTTGTGGGATGCAGGAGGGATTTACCTTTCCTTTATCCTTCCATCCCCAGGGTGTAGCAGCTTCCTGCCGCTGTGAATCTGCTTTATCCTCCCCTTCTCCTACTTTACCTTTCAATGTTTTTAATCCCTGTGTATTATTTCCAGCATCAAATTCCTTTTATTGGTTTTGTTTTCAAGGAAGGACTCTGATGAGTAACCTATTTTTAGAAACCATGTACAAAACCATGGTTATCTAAATTTTGGTCCTATAGGAAATGTTTTTCTTTTCTTACTTAATTCTTTGAGGGTACTCCTGAGAGATAATCTTCCTTTTGACTTCATTTCCTGGAATTTAAAAAATTACATGAGATAAGAATATATCCAGAGGGCTGGGAAGGTGGCTCAGTGGTAGAGCACTTGCCTTGCATGCATGAGGCCCTGGGTTCGATTCTTCAGCACCACATAAGCAAAAAGAAAAAACCCAGAAGTGGTGCTGTGGCTCAA